CTTTGTCCACTGTCAAACTGGCTATGCATGAGGACCTTAGGTATTCTATCGTCACTCAACTTTGCAACATGGCCAGACCAGCGCAGTTGTGACTGCATCAGTAAAGTCTCAATTCCACCAGTGTTGCATTTTGCAGGAAGATCAACATTGGACACCCTATCGTCCAACGTATAGCCACAGATGGCACGGAGAACACTTCTCTGGAAGATATCCAGTTGATTCATATGGCTTCTACATGGGGTTCACAAGTCTGACTCGTACAACAACATGGTCAGAACGGCTTCTTTAATTCCGTATTTCGGTGTCTAATTTTATACAGCTCTCATTCCATAGGGGGTGGCGAACCTTCCCAAATGCATTGTAGCTTCGGTGATCCAATTTTTTATTTTGTCATCAATATATATATATATATATATATATATATATATATATATATATATATATATATATATAAAGCGTTTCACCCCAAGCAAGGCGGGAAGCCGCTAGGACGCAAGGGGTTACATAAGATTTGGAGTGATAGAGGAAAGGATGAGGAGAGGGGTAGTGGGTAGATCAAGGCAACTCGAGATGTCGATTGACATTACATTTGAATAGTTGGAGATTATAGCTCTCAGGGAAACTGGAATAAGGAAGGGAGTTCCACAGGCGAGAGGTGCGAGATATGAAGCTATTGGTGTAGAAGAGACGGCTACATTTAATAGTTTCGACAGTGAAAGGGTAAGTTTACGATTCCAATGGAATAAATTATGGCCATGGAATATATATATTTAAGCCTTTTTATTATATCCTTTCTCTGTCCTGGACATTGAGTTCTACCTGGATTCTATCCTCTTGGATTGATTTTTTTATACAAATATATAGGTATGTGTATGTATGTATATATATTTATATATATTTTAGATATATGATTGCATATGTATGTATATTTACCACTAATATTATCCTCTCTCTCTCTCTCTCTCTCTATATATATATATATATATATATATATATATATATATATATATATATATTATTAAATATAACAGATAATGAATGTTTATTAGGTTTGATCATCAGCCGTTCTAAACTTCGTATATTTACTTTTATTAAAATTAAAATTAATCTTCTCTTTCTGCTTTTTATTAACGATCAGCCGTGGAACATTCTCTAATCATTACTGACCATATATACTGTTGGTACTACAGTTTACGGAACCACGTCCCAAAATTAAGATACTCAGTGCCTTGCAACTGATCTTTCGACCGATCTAGCTTAAACAGCTCAATAGCGAAAAACTAGCGTTATAGTAGAGACTTTGTAATCGCAGAGGCAACTATAGTAACGCCGTTGAACAATACTGGCGTCAGACGCCTTTGGATATCACTCACACTAATAGTACTTACTCGATAATACTCGCTTGAACAGTAATCCGTATAGGGATCCGAATAGAGAAATAATATAGTGAATAGAGTAGAGAATAGCGGTCCATATAGTAATAGAGTAGAAATAGTGACCCGAATAGTAACAGAGGATAGACTAGAAAGAGTGATCAATCTAGACGTCACGCGACTTCCTATATATGCGTTTCCTCTATGGTCACGTGATCTACATAATTCAATAATGGGATCGCCCGTGTTTGCTCACTGGCGATCTATGTTCAAACTCAAGTATCGACAGCGACATTTTATTCCCATATAACAATATAACAGCTTGTGGATATCAGGTGCTGTATGCTTAGATGTGCAGGTGGTGTAATGGATAATATCTCGGAATTTTTAATCAGAGTGACGAGTTCAAATTCCATTTGAGTTTGTTAATTTCATTTGCGTTTAAGTTCTCGTGGGAAAGGTAAGAATCTACCCCCAGCTCTTCCTAAAATCTAAAAGTATTTTAGGCTTTAAATAAATTGAAAAGGTTTGAGAAGCCATAAAAAACGAATCAAACAACCAAAAATTTTGCCATGCGTTATTTTGAGAAGAGTCAGATTAAACCAGAAGTGGAGGTATTGCTATCATGACTTCACAGGATCTGTCCAATCCTATCTTTTCAAACATGACAGTGTTCAAAATAAGCTACGAGGTCTTGTAAGGGATGATTTATTTTACACCCTACAGCCTCTTTCCCCACAGATGCAAAGTGGCAAAACTACCCCTACTCTATCGCTATTTCCTTGGCAAATGTTCAGATGACCTCTAATTCTTTGATTTTAGTCATTTCTCCCTAGAAGATGCCCTGCTACATCCAAAGAGTCGAATTAGTCATACTTCCTCCGTATTACACAGTTAAAGGGGAATATCAACTCGGAAAAGCTACACCCGTGTGTATAATTCCCCGATCCCTAAACCTTTGCGAGTTAAGGGTCAATCCTTATGTATCCTCCTTACCCACATACTTGTCCCCCCTTTAACGAAGTCTTACTTTCATATCATTCACCGCAATACATAATACTTTATAATGAGTAGCACATTGTATTGGGCGAACTTTAGCATATAGCATACAACTAGTGGGAGAACCTCCAAGAATACAAAATTCTTGAGATTGATAAGAAGAACAACTAAACAAGTAAAAAGTATAAAATACAGGAAAGAGAGGAAGTTATGAAGGATATTAGAGACTTGAAGAAAATATATAAAAGAAATAATAAAACAGAATAAAAAGTATAAAAGACAGAAAGAGAATGAATAAAAGAAAATAGGAATGACGGAATAATGAATAAAAAAGAATGACATAAAGATTAAGAGGGAGAAATAAAAAGAATTAAAGAAAATAGGAATATCGGAATAATGAATAAAAAAGAATAACAAAAAGAATAAAAGGCAGAAAGAATTAAAGAAAATAGGAATGACGGAATAATGAATAAAAAAGAATGACATAAAGATTAAGAGAGAGAAATAAAAAGAATTAAAGAAAATAGGAATATCGGAATAATGAATAAAAAAGAATAACAAAAAGAATAAAAGGCAGAAAGAATAAAAGAAAATAGGAATATCGGAATAATGAATAAAAAAGAATAACAAAAAGAATAAAAGGCAGAAAGAATAAAAGAAAATAGGAATGACGGAATAATGAATAAAAAAGTATAAAAGAAAGATTAAAAGACAGAAGGAAAAAGAATTAAGGGAATAACGAACAAAAGACTAAAAGGAAAATAAATGAACAACTAAGAGGTAAAAGGCATAGAAATATGAAAAAGAAAGGAACGAAACAGAAAAGAAAGAACCAAATAAACGAAAGTAAAAAGAATAAGAGAATAAAGGAATGAGATAAAACTTTATAAGGAAAGAATCAAAGATAAAAACGAAAAACAGAAAGAAAGAAGAAAGAAAGAATCAGAGAATAATAAATAAAGAATAAAAGAGAGAAAGAAAAAAGGAAATAAAGTAATAATAAATAAACAAAAGACAGAAAGAAAAGTTAATGAATGTCTAAATAAAAGTAAGTGGGTTAAAGATAAAGAATGAATAAAGGAAAAGAAAGAAACGAATAGAAGAAAGTAAAAAGATTAAAAAATAAAAGAAATAATAAATGAGCAAGAGGAAAGAAGAAAAAAGAAAGAATACAGATAAAGAAAAGGAGGGAGAAAAAATAAATTAATGACGAATAATAAAAGAATAGAAAGAATGAAAGCAAGAAATAGTAAAACAAACAAAAAGAATTAACGACAAGGAAAGAACAAACGAAAGAAAGAAAAAAAGAGTAAGTGAAAGGAAAAATTAAAGATAAGGGAAGAAAATACAATGAAAAATAAAGAATAAAAAGTAGAAAAGAAAAAAGAATTAAAAATAAAGAAATAAAAATAGAAATAGAAATATAGAAAAGAAGAAGGAATGAAAGAATAAGTGAACAAAAAAGAAAGAAAAAATCAACAAAGATAAGGGAGAAAGAAAAAGAATTAAGGAGAAAGAAAGAATGAAAGAAAAAATAAAGATAAGAAGGATAATTAGAGAGAAAGAAAAATCAAAAATTAAAAAAAAAATCTAAGAAAAGAAAAACGAATTAATGATACACAAATACAAATAGAAATAATGAAAAAAGTTAAGAAAAAAGAAAGAAATGAACAAAGATAAGAAAGAAAGAAAGAAAAAAGAAAAAGAATTAAAGAAAAGAAAGAAAGAAAGAAAGAACGAAAGAAAAAGAAAGAGAGGAAAAATTAAAGATAAGGAGAGAAAAATAGAAAGAAAGAAATATAGTGAACAATAAATAGAAAAGAAAAAAGAATTAAAGATGAAGAAATAAAAATATGGATGAAAAAAGCAAGAAAGAAAAAAATAACGATAAAGAGAATAGAAAGAAAGAAAATAAATGATGAACCAAACAGAGAAAAAAAGAATTAAATATAAGGAAAAAAATAATTAAACAAGAAGAAAAGAATTGAAGATAAAGAAAGGGCAAAAAAAAAAAAAAAGAATTAGGAAAGAAATGCAGATAAGAAAGAAAGAATAAAGCAAACAACGAAAGACAACAAAATAAAGGCATAGAGAGAATAAAAGAAAGAAAAAGAATGAAAGTTAAGGAAAGAAAGAAAGAAAACGAATTAAAAATAAATAAAGAAAAACAATCATAAAAAAGAAATTTTGTAGGACAGTTCTATGTATCGTATTTATTTTTCTTCGTCTTTACTTGAAGAAAGAAAACCAAAAATCAAAGAATCTTTTGGCTTCGATGCAAGAAACGATAACATACAAGTATACAAGAAATATAAATATGAATCGCTCACAGCACATCATTGAAATTTAATGCCTGATTGAAAATTTGGACTGAGAATTGTCTTTGGAAGCGAGCCGTGAATAAGTGTCTTTGGCAAATCTCTTCATTGTTCCTGTTTTCCAATATTAGCGAATGTGTTAAGGCAAGCGAAAACGAAACTAAAGTCAAAGGTGACTGTAAAGTTTTTAAAATTATCTTCTTATATTTACGCGAAATGTTGGAATAATTTGAAGAAACAGAAAATGAAAAAGGGAAACAAAAAATCGGTGGTTTGAATAGAGTTAGAAAAAAAATTTTAAATCGAAACTTTAATTTCCGCGCAAAACGAAAAAGAAGAAAAGTCTTTTAAATAGACTTATGGGTATTCTATTGAGCCAAGCTAAAGAAAATCGATGGAATTTAAAGAAAAGATTGGAAGAATTAAAAAGAAAATTGACATTCGTTTCGGATGTGAAATGTCTTGGACTGTTACGGATTGGAAAGACTTTTCGTGTAAAAAAATTATATAAAAAAAAGGAAAGGAAAATGCTAAAGGGAGAAAAAGCAAATAAAGAAAGCGGATTGAGAAAGTGTGAAAAGAAAAAAAAAGAAAGAAAAGATAATAGAGAATAAAAAGAAAGAAAGAAGTGCTTATTCCAGAAGGAAAGAAAAGATGAAAAGCAAATAGCAAAGCGAAAGAGACACAGAAAAGTTGAAATAAGAAAGCAAAATAAAACAAATAACATTATAGAAAGAAACCAGGTAGAAAAAAAAAATTGCGAGAAACGCAAAAGACAAACAAATAGTAAAAGAAGAAAAAGAAAGAAAAGAAAGAAGGATAAATTAGGAAAAATCGAAAGAAAAAGAACGAAGAAATAGTAAGAAAGAATATGAGAAAGAAATTCAAAGGTAGTAAAAACAAAAGAAGGAAAAAGAAAGCTAGAATAAAATAAGAATACAAAGGTAGAAAGAACAGAAAGAAAAACTCGAAGAAATTTAAAATTTCTTTGAATTTTTTCGAGTTCTTTCTTTGCCTTTTACCTTTCTTTGCCTTTGCAAAAACAAGAAAGAAACGAAAGAAAAATATAAAGATTAAATTAACAAAATAAACAAATGAAAAACAAATAAATACACACATGAGGAAAAATTATAGAAAATTAAGAAAGAAAGAATTTATGATTCATTCATTTTCTACGGTTTATCAACCCTTTGCAGGTTATTTAAAGCCAGAAATTATTTTTTAGATTGTAAGAATATATTTTGGCGATAATAATGGTTTACAAGTCTTACTAATTTCTTCTTTTAATTTCTTCTGCTTAATCAGTAGATTGATTGATTGATTCGTTTTCTACGGCTTATCAACCCTTTGCAGGTTAAAGCCAGAACTTATTTTTAGATTGTAAGAATATATTTTGGTGATAATAATGTTTTAAAAGTTTTACTAATTTCTTCTTTTAATTTCTTCTGCTTAATCAGTAGATTGATTGATTCATTCATTTTCTACGGTTTATCAACCCTTTGCAGGTTATTTAAAGCCAGAAAATATTTTTTAGATTGTAAGAATATATTTTGGTGATAATAATGGTTTACAAGTCTTACTAATTTCTTCTTTTAATTTCTTCTGCTTAATCAGTAGATTGATTGATTGATTCGTTTTCTACGGCTTATCAACCCTTTGCAGGTTATTTAAAGCCAGAAAATATTTTTTAGATTGTAAGAATATATTTTGGTGATAATAATGGTTTACAAGTCTTACTAATTTCTTCTTTTAATTTCTTCTGCTTAATCAGTAGATTGATTGATTGATTCGTTTTCTACGGCTTATCAACCCTTTGCAGGTTATTTAAAGCCAGAAAATATTTTTATATTGTAAGAATATATTTTGGTGATAATAATGGTTTACAAGTCTTACTAATTTCTTCTTTTAATTTCTTCTGCTTAATCAGTAGATTGATTGATTGATTCGTTTTCTACGGCTTATCAACCCTTTGCAGGTTATTTAAAGCCAGAAAATATTTTTAGATTGTAAGAATATATTTTGGTGATAATAATGGTTTACAAGTCTTACTAATTTCTTCTTTTAATTTCTTCTTCGGCACATGAATAAAGATACACGTCTTACTAATTAAACCACAGCTGGGGGTGAAGAAGTGGAGTCCTTCTTTTCGTAAGGTAGTAAGTGTATATAACGAACCTAACTGGAATTGGAACTCTGCTCTCCGATTAACAATTCCGAGCCATTATCTATTACATCACCTGCACACCCACGCTTACAGCATCTTACATTCAAAATGTCACCCAGCTAACTAAAGTCCACGATCGACGTTTCTTAACTTCGGTGATCATATAGGAACCGGTGTTACAACGTAATGTGTCTTTAAGCCCAAAAGAAGAAAGATCGAAAGCATGTACGAATGGAGCGGAAGTATAAAAAAAGATAGGGAGAATGAAATAAAGAAAAAATACATGAAAGAGAAAATAAAATTATATGAAAGGAAAAAGAATGAAGAAATAAAGAAACGCTAAAAGAAAAAAAATCAAAACGGAAAGAAAGAAAGAAAGAAAGAAAGAAAGAAAGAATAACAATGTCAGAAAGAAAGAAAAACAGAAATACAGCAAACGCTTAGAAAGGAAAAGAAAGAAAAAGAAAAAAAAAGAAAAATAAACGAAAAATGACATATAATGCAGAATCGATAAAGCCAAAGACTATAAAGGCAGGAATCAGTGGAAAGAAAGAAAGAAAGAAAGAAAGAAAAAAGAAGGAAAGAAAGAAAGAAAGAAAGAAAGTAGGAAAGAAAGAAAAAAGAAAAATGTCAGAAATATAAAGAAAAACAGAAATACAACCAAACGTTTAGAAAGGTAAAAAGGACAAAAGAGAAAGAAAAATAAACGAAAATGACATAATGCAGAAAAAACGAGAATCGATAAAGACAAAGACTATAAAGGCAGGAATCAGCGGAAAGAAAGAAAGAAAGAAAGAAAGAAAGAAAGAAAGAAAGCAAGAAAGAAAGAGTCGAATAAAATGGTAAAATAAAAACAAATCTATATTATAATTCTCTTTGTCTCTCCTTTGTTAGTTATACTCTTAGTTCGCACGACCGTTACGCCCTGCCAACACCTCATAAATAAGGGACTAATCCGTTTTGATCGCGTGAAAACACGGAAATGATATATCAAAGACGTTACCTGGTTTCAGTGAGAAAATAAAAGAAAGATAGAAAGAAAGAAGAGAAGTGTTTTATGTCAGTTTCAGTGAGATTGAAAAGGTTCTCATTTTCAAATTTTTTTAATTTGTACCCCCTTACTTCTTAAGATAACAACAGGCATTTATATTTATGTTTGTTATTGGAGTATTTTGTTTAAAGTTGTCAAGCTCAAATTTTTAACGATGCGATAGGGGAATTTCTGCGGATGTTTTATTGTCCTGGAACACGCGATGAGCTTATTCAATCATTAACTTAACAATTAAGACTCATCAGAAATTTCAAGTAGGAAATCTGTGGCATTTTTCACCGGTCTTTATAGTAAAAATTAAAATAAAGAAATCTAAGTACTAAAACGAAAACATACACCTACCCACGCATTTGGATGATATTTCGTCAATCTCATCCATGATTTCTCTTCGTTAGTAACTAACTTTTTGATAGATTTATCGAATTTCTATTTCTCAGTGACAATATTATGTTCCTTGTTTTTCTCATAGGTGTCTGGATCGCCGAGGAGGAGCTCTTTCTCTCTTTTTTTCATTATAAGTGTTGATGTCCAATAGGACGACACATCCCCGTTTGTTGGGAGTTCTGATTCTGATATTTCGGATATTCGATAATTTTCCAGTGCTTTAACATACACTCGTGGTAATATAGTTCCGTCTTTTGAAGACACACACACAAATAATCGAGTTCTCTCAGTCAGTGGCATATTTATCTAAAAAAAAACCCGACTAAATTCACCCTTATCCCGGCCGTGCGCCAAAGGCCTAGAGGTAGATTCTCTGACTGACGCCAATTCTGACTGACGGGTTTTGATCCTAGCTAGAGGCAATCGGACGTCTAGTCACACTGATGAGCTGTGATACAGTGAAACAGTGTGTCTGTGGATGATAATATATATACACCCAGAAAAAAAAACAAAACACTATGAAAGTCAAAAAATTTTAAAACTCCGGGAATACATTTTATATAAAAAATTACCAATACTTACTTATCTTCAAATTACCAACAGTAATTACCATATTTATAGTAAAATTACCTACATTACCTCAAACAATATGAAAGAACTCTTTCATGACATTATTCCATATGATATCCTACAATTTCCTTAAAGAAAACAAACTTTATTCCAAGACATAACTTCAACAAAGCTATAAAAACACATCACTGCTTCTAGTAATCATGTTCACACAAACATGTATATGTACAAAAGCAGAGTATCATCTACCATGTATTCAATTGTGAAAGCAGAATAACATACATCATTTTTATTACTTCAAAGCTCCCAAGAATTTCGGCATTAAGCGTTTGTCGATTTTTAAAAAAAAAAACTTTCAGCACTCGATTCCCTCTGTTAGATAAGGTGAGGTTGATAGTGGTAGAGAGATGTTTAATATACAGTATCTACCACTAAGAACCTCACCTCATTTAACATTTGCCAATGGAATGCTGAACGTTTTTGAAAAAAATAGAACGACGCTCACTCGAATTCCAGCCACGCTCAACAGGTGAAGGCTCGGAATAAAACGCTCTTACTAGTATACAAAAAAACCCAAAATAAGATACATCTTAATAAAATACATCTTAAAATAATACAACTTAAACAGTCAAAAAACGAAGAGAAATTATCAACACCTAAAACTACCCCCCCTTGAAAATGACTAAAGAAATATCCGAAAGTACTTAGGACAATATATATATATATATATATATATATATATATATATATATATATATATATATGTGTGTGTGTGTGTGTGTGTGTGTGTGTGTGTGTGTGACAATAATGGATACTATAATATTTATTTTATTATAAACAAATGATTATTCATAAATATATACTTCAAAGTTCTGATATATTACATGAAGCGCTACTTTATTAACAGCAAAACATAATGTGCAATATTATATATATATATATATATATATATATATATATATATATATATATATAGATAGATAGATCTGGACAGGCTGATAGATAGATAGATAGATAGATAGATAGATAGATAGATACTCAGGCACATGCACATATAGGAGGCGGTGCTGAAAAATACATGCCCTGGCCAGGGAGAATTTCCACCAAAATTGATATTGCCGAGAAATTTCAGCATCACCTCTGAAGCGTGCGTTTCGCAAATACACACACACACAAACATACGCACACACACGTTTTATGTCTCTCTCACACACCCATACACTCTCAAACACACATATACATATACACTTACACAATCTCTCTCACACGCATATACACACACAGGCGCACACACTCATACGCACACACACATATTCTCTCTCTCACACACTCGCAGATGCACACACAAGCATACATAATCTCTCTCTCATACACACATATTCTCTCTTTCACATATACAAGCACGCACTCTTCCACAAACGCGCACACACATACATATACAGGCACGTTTTCTCTCTCACCCAAACAAGAACGCACTCATATCCATATACACACACTTTCTCTATTTCTCATATACACACGTGCTTTCAGACACACACACACACACACACACACACATATATATATATATATATATATATATATATATATATATATATGTTTATGTGGCGTAATATAAGATTCCATCATCCTCAAGGCTGATTTTGACCCTGGAGATAGCATGTGAATGGTAAGGCAGCTAATAGATATTCTGATGTAATTTTCAAAGACTTCGGCCATATTGGCATATCGTTTGCATTTGAGATTTAGGTTAAATAATGTTCATTATAGTGCAATTTCAGTGCAAACAGGTTACATCATGGAGACGCACACGTGCCACTTGTTCAATTAGAGCCGTTTCAGCAGGGGTCAGCTGGTCATTTTGGAAAATTGATGCGCATGTCCGTTGCGACGCATCGGTGGTGTATCTATTTTGGCAACAGCGGCCTAACAATTATTCCTACACTGTACACTAGGTCCTGAACGGCTATGTATTAGAGACGGAATGGAAGGGCAGCATTCGCAGACCTCATGGCGTCCACAGCTCAGATAAGTGAAAATTTTACTCCGGTAGTGTCAACACGGACCGCTGGAAACCGCTAACTTTTACCAAGATTACAATATGCGTGTTTTTAACCGAATTCTCGCTTATACCACAATACCAGCTGATGGTGAAAAGACTGCATATAGACAATTTAGGATGTCTAAGAGAATGAAAAACAGGAAAGCGTCTTGAACTTTGAGATAGACCTCGTTTACAGTCGCTCTTTCACAGACGTGCCGTCGCTTCCCTCTTTCTTTTCTACAGATACTTTCAAGGTAACTGCTCCGACGAGCTACTTTCGCTGGTTCCCAAACTGCATGAATTTAAACGTGCTACTAAGTTGGCATCTCAGTCCCACCCTTTCACGGTTAAATGTAGCCGTCTCTTCTACTCCAATAGCTTCATGTCTCGTACTTCCCGTCTGTGGAACTGCCTTCCTCTTATTTGCTTCCCTGATAGCTATAATCTCGAACTATTCAAATGCAATGTCAATCGACATCACCAGCTGTCTTGATCTATTCCCCGCCCTTCTCTTCATCCTTTTCTCTATCACGCTTCTTTACTCTTGTTCCCACTCCTTGTTTACTCGTGGCATTCCCGCCTCGCTTGGGGTGAAAAGCTTAAAAAAGATATATTAAAGATAAGAGAGATAGAGGAAATCAGTGCATAAATTAGCTTGCGAACTTGGGTAAATGGATGTCAGAACTGGGTTTAGGAGAGATAATAAAAAGACAACATTTCTAAGACCAACAATGGACAGCAAACAGTGGAGAGCCATGATCATCAACGTCACGGCACATAAAAAAGGTAATAGTAGTAGAAATATGAAGGTGGATTTGAATACCGGAAGATGTATGTTACAGTTTTTTGGATACATCTATGTGCTAGTGAGCCAACCAAAATGAGCTGACTCATTTTATAGTCCACCAAGACAAGGGTTAACCAATCAGAAAGCTCAAAATATTCAATCCGACGTGTATAAAGGCAGCCATTTTGTTTTTTCTCCCAAAATATCTTCACTGCCAACCTCTGATATCGAAGACCTGAAGAATTACTTAACAGCTGCTACTTTCTCCAAATATTTACTGCCAACCTCTGATATCGAAGACCTGAAGAATTAATTAACAGCTGCTACTTTCTCCGAATTTTCACTGCCAACCTCTGATATCGAAGACCTGAAAAATTACAGAACAGCTGCTACTAGTGATATTGGCGTTGTTCCATTGAACACATTACGTACTGCACTGGTTTCTATATTCAAAGACTACGACAAACATGGTCAACAATGTATTCCAGCAACTAATCAAAGTATTAAGTGTTATAAAAATTTCGTTACAAAGTAAAGAGTAATGAACTGCTATGCAATATCAAATCTCCTATCTGACAATGGATGCTAAGCAATGTACTTAGAGATGATGTGTCTTGAAGCGACTGAGGCGTAGTTCTATCGATGGAAGCAGAGGAAACTTTGGACAGGACATGAAAGCAACGAGGGCGTTTTAAGAAAATTAGGAAGTAGATAAAAACTAATACTTGCAGTCAGAAAGAGACAATTAAAAGAAGATATTGGTCACATAAATAGGAAAGAAGGCTCGGAGAATTTGACACCGATGTTGAAGAGGCTGGAAATGATGGAGAGGCGCTTCTATCAACAGATGCTGAGAATACTATGAAAAGGACCTGTGAGCGACGAGGAAGTTTTAAGATGAATAGAATCTACAAGTACACCGATGTTTACAATTAGAAAAAAAGGCAAGGACACGTTACAAGGAAAGATGCCTTTAAGAATTTAACACCAAAAATGGAGAGGATATCATGGACTGAACATGTGAGAAATGGAAAAAAAAAAGCTTTCAGAAAAATGGATGATATAAGGACGTATACTTACAATCAGAAAGAGACGATTGAAACATTCCAGGAAAATGAGGTAATATCTTAATCGGAGAATTTAATGGCTACAGAACATATTCAAGGGGGAAAACCAGCGAATAACATCTTTAATGAGATTTATTTAATAGATGAGAAAACAAAATGAAAGAGAGATAGTAAAAAATCAAAGGTTAATTAGAAAAAGAAGAGACAGGAAGTTATGGAATACCGTCTTCACGCACGTACAGAATGGACACAGCATATAAAAAAGAAGTAGTTGAAGTGTTAGTTTTAGTCGAGAGGCAGTGAGGGTTTTGGTCAGGATGCATGCCAATAAAGAAATAATAAAATCAGAGCAAAAATATATATATCAAAATACGCGTGTAAATACTGCCACATTATGACCACGAGTCAAAAGGACTTAAATCGAATCAGATCGAAGCAAGTTTGCAATTTAAAAATGTATTTTCAATATTCCATTTGAGCTCTCATAACGAAAGCCATCTTTACTGAAGCGAGGACTGCATTGTGCGTCTTTGTTTATAATTGTTTTTATTATTATTATTATCATTATTATTCTAATAATAATTTTATTGGTTTATCTTGGAGATTTGGCTCCTTGAACGTGATGCATCAAGAATAATGAATAAAATTTAATGACTGAACATTATGTTATATTCCTTACTTTTTCCCACCCTTTTTTCAAATTTTAAAAATTTTCCCTGTTTTGGAGTCTGTTAAGCGAAAACTTCTTTTTTTTTGCTTTACATTTTAAAAACGAACGGAAGAAGATAAAATATCTTGAGAGTTTCTTGTTTCTTAGAAAGAATTTGATTTTTCACCATGGAAGAAAAATGACAAAAAGACAAGTAATCGATGAAATAAACACATTGATTAGCTGATTAGGATGTAATATTTTGCATACAGATCGATAAAATTGGGACAAAAGATTTCTTCTATTTACGCTTAAAACTTAATTTAACGATAACAGAAGAAGAAAAAAATGAAATCAAATTGTCAGGACTTCTCAAATTAATAACACATGCAATAATACATACATTAATAATACATATATAATAAAATATAATGTTAATATACTCTCAATATATTTTATAAATAGAAAAAAGCATATATAGATAATAATTTATGTGAAATATCCACACAAAGTAGCAGAATATATATATATATATATATATATATATATATATATATATATATATATGTGTGTGTGTGTGTGTGTGTGTGTGTGTGTGTGTGTAATATCGATAATAACTTTAATATATTATCAAAAAATTAATATACTATCAATATATTTTATATAGTAAAAAAGTATATATAGATAAAAAACAATTTATATGACAAGCTAGCAGAAAATAATATATATATATATATATATATATATATATATATATATATATATATATATAAGTTATGAAGAACTTGGTAAACCGAATTGGTAAATCCAAGGAGTATGAAATCCTGAGAGCTCAATGTGAAGAACAGAGCTAATATTTAATGAAAAACAGACCACTTTAAGGTACCATTACAATAATTTATTTCACCAAATTATTATTATTTCATTAAATTATATTTATATATATATATATATATATATCTATTATTATTTCATTAAATTATATATATATATATATATATATATATATATGTATGTATATCAATAATAACGCTAATATATTATCGAAATAATGTTAATATACTCTGAATATATTTTATATATAGGAAAAAGCATATATAGATAAAAATAATTTATATGGCATATCTACACAAGCTAGCAGGAAATAATATATATATATATGTAATATCAATAATAATGTTAATATATTAGCAAAATAATGTTAATATACTATTATACACATACACATACATATATATATATATATATATATATATATATATATATATATATATATATAAACCTAGTGCAAGCGGATCGTCAGGGAAACCTAGGTAGGTTTATCTGGCTCACTAGGTTTATCTAGGTCTGCTCTACGGTTGTATTGAGCTCTTTTGTTAGTTAGTTGTTTACTTGTGTCGGGGTTTTTTCTTTGGGCTTCAAACCTGCATCTGTGCGATTTTTTTCGACAGACTTTCATGTTTCTAGCTCTTTCTTTTTTTTAAACTTTTTTTCACTCGAG